CCACCCATCTATCCATCCATCCACCCACCTATCTATCCATCCATACACCCATCCATCCACCCACCCACTCATCCGTCCAGCCATCCATCTGACCATCCATCCATCTATCCATCCACCCATCCATCTATCCATCCACCTAGCCATCTACCTACCCATTCTTCCTTCCCTACACGCCTCCATTGTGTGCTACATACTTTGGACAGGAACCAAAGCACTCTCAGTGAGGAACTCTGATATTTCACTAGAGACAGCATCTTAGATGCCTGAATATAGGAAACTAAAGCAGGAAGCATCATGGATGCCTGACAGAGGCTGAGAATGGGCCTTACTTGTTCATTCAACAAACACAGCCATTTCCTGATCTCGAGGAACTAGATCCTACTAGAGTCCTTGGTGTCTCTCTCTCTGTGCTGGGGATGGAACCCAGGGACTCATGCATGCTAGGCAAGTGCTCTGCCCCTGAGCCACACCCCAGTCCTGGACACATTGTTAAGTAAAACTTGACATAAAAGCTTAGGGAAGAGTCACACTCCGTAGGGAGAAACTCCAGGGAGAAGGCGGTAATTAAGATGGACCTTGGTGAGTCAGAATCTGGCCTTAGAGATGGAGGGGATCAGTGAGTAGGGTTCTGGGGCTCTGGGCACCTGAGTGGGCAAGGTTGTTTACACCACTTGGCTAGAACCCCCTAAGGTCGCACCGCACACCGTAGCCCCAGGTCCCCCAACAGGACCCGCCATGTTTGTGGGGTGCTAGAGAGCAGTGATGACTTTGGAATCAAAACTGAATTTGGGGGGCTGGGGATTTAGCTCAGCGGCACAGCACCTGCCTGGCAAGCGCAACATCGTGAGTTTGATTCCTGGTACCAGAAGAAAAACAAAAACAAAAACAAAAACAAAAACAAAAACTGAATTTGAACACTAGCTGGGCTTCTTCAGGACTGCAGCCTTCAGAAAGAGACCTTCTCTCTCTGAGCCTCAATTTCTCTCTGAGAGACAGAGATAGTATCTAGCAGGAGTACCGTGACCCACGGAGCCCCAGCAGCAGCGCCCTGTCCCCAGCAGGGACCCTATGAAGGGGAGCTCTCGTGTGATTCGGTCTCCCTGGGGATACATCTTCAAGTGGAGGGTGCCAGCCAGGCAAATCTGGCTTGCTTTTCAGAAGTTAACTCAGAAGTTCTCCCAGTGGGAGAGGGGTGGGGCTGTAAGTCCCTGGGGACAGAGGAGCCAGCCACATGGCCTTGCAGGTAGCAGAGGGTGGACGGGGTTCACTTCTTAGGCGCCTGGGGTACGCCAGGCGCTGTGCCGAGCAGTGAGCATGCGCACCTGGCCTTGTCCTCCGCCTGCCCAGATGCGCCATTTCAAAGATAAAGGGACATAGCTCCCAGGAGAAAAAGACTTGCTCAAGGTCACCCAGCTACTGACAGGGGTCAGGCCTTGTATGAGTGAGGATTTAGCCCCCCCATGGGGCCTGCCTGGGAGGGGTCAGAGGCTCACCCGAGGGCTGGGCCCGTAGCCCTGGCAGCAAGGCTACCAGGGTGCATGGGTACCAGGCTGGGGCTGGGACAGAGTCCTGGGACACAGGGTGGGGGTGAGTACGGGACAGGGTCAGTCCTGTGTGTGGAGCCCCCAGGAGTGGGAGGCGCAGACCGGGGAGGGGAGGAGACCCTGGCCAAGGGAAGGGACGGGAGTGACTGTGTGTGGAGGTGGGGCTCGAGCTGTGGTTGGGGACACAGGCACTGTATGGGAGGCACAGCAGAGTCGAGGGCTGGAGACAGGGCTTGGGGACTGATGCTGTGGGACGGTGGGGAGGGACAGTTCCTGGGTGACTGGCTGGCCGACGGTAGACCTGGGGGAGATGGGTTTAGGTGTAGACTCCGAGCTTGGTATGGGACACGGCATGCACAGAGGGGCCCGGAGGTCCTGTGATGCGTGGCGCCAGGTTACGGACAACAGAGTATAAAGCGCGCTCTTAAACACCACTGTCTTGCCGGGCGTGTTGGCACACGCCTGCTGTCTCAGCTACGGGGAGGCTGAGACAGGAGGATTGTAAGTTGGAGGCCAGCCTGGGTGACTTAGTGAGGTGCTGTGTCAAAATACTTTAAACATTTCAGAAAGGGCTCGGGATGTAGCTCAGAGCTCTCCGGGTTCAATCCGCATTACCTCCATACGCCAAACCAAATCCAAACCAAGTATTTCCTTTCCTTTTCTTGAAACCATGAGAAAAGTAGGGGAGATTCACAGAACACAGAAAATCCCACTCTGAACTGACCTGTTTGATGCGGAGTAAAAGCCGTGTCACAGTCCCACACGTCACTGCCTCTTTCTGGACCTCCGTGTCCTCAGCCATCGTCCTCAGCCATTGTCCTGAGAGGGCTGCCGGCCAAGCTGCAGGCTCCTTGAGGTTTAGAACCTCATCCCGCAGCTGCTATCAGGGACAGCGATGCCACAGTCGGTCCCCTTTGTAGCAGAGGGACTGGGTCCCCTGAAGCCACTCAACTGGTGTTACTGGACCTGCTCTCCCCACGACACCAGGTCACGTGGCTCAGGGCCGCTAGGCTGTCAACTGAGCACGTGAGATGCATCTGTTTAGGAGAAGGGTATGGAGCCAGTGGAGGCAGAAGCAAAACCTTGACAGGGCAAGTGCCCTCGGGACCTTCCTGTCGCTGTGGGTTGCCTGTGTCTGGATGCATTTAAGGGTCCCTTCTCCCGGGTGTCCCCCTCCCCTCCATACTGGGGAGTGAACTGAGGACCTCTGCACTGAGCTACATCCTCAACCCTTTTAATTTTTTTATTTTGAGACAAGGTCTCACGAAGTTGCTGCATTGACCCAGCTGGGCTTGAACTCATGCTCCTCCTGCCTCTGCCTCCCAGCGTGTTGGGGTTGCAGGTGTGCATCAGGCTCTGGCTCTCCATAGATTTTTTTTTTTTTTTTTTTTTTTTTGGTCTTTTTGAGACTGGGTCTTCCTGTGCAGGTCAGGCTGGCCTTGAGCTTACTTTGTAGCTCAGGATGGTCTGGGACTCGCAATGATCCTCCTGCCTCAGCCTCCAGAGTGGTGGGATTATAGGTGTGGCCACCACGCCCTGCCTCTCCGTGTGTTTTCAATGATCTCCTGGAGTTTTTCTTATGTTCAGGTTTTTTCCCAGCCTTATTTTCTGCTACTGTTGCCTCTTTTCTTTCACAAGGTCTTCCAGGTGTCTGATTTTCCACCTTAATCAGAGCCTGCATTTCCCTGCACCAAGAGACGTGAAATGAATAAGTGACGCTCTTCGGTGGCTTGGTAGTTCTGACCCACTGGTCCGAGTGCTGGCCCCGAGCCCACTGACCTCATGCTCAAGCTGGCCATGGTGGTGCAGGCCTGTAACCCCAGCACTTGGTGAGGCTGAGGCAGGAGGATCCCAAGTTCGAGCCCAGCCTAAGCAACTTATTGACTAAGGGAGACCCGGTCTCGAAATAAAAGGGCTGAGGATACAGCTCCACCCATATGTCCTCACCCCGCCCTGATCTCCTGTCCCACTCCTCTCACCTTGCAGCCTGTGGGAGCTCCGAGGCCTCGGCCTACCTGGACGAGCTGCGTCTGGCTGTGGCTTGGAACCGCGTGGACATCGCCCAGAGTGAACTCTTCCGAGGGGACATCCAGTGGCGGGTGAGGGGTCAGGGCCTGGGGTTCGGGGCTCTGGCTGAGGGGTGGTTCTCCTCTCTCCCTGCCTTTGCACACCTACCTGGTCCTGCCCTCCAAACTACGACTCTCCAGCCCTCTCCAAACTGTCCATGCATCTCGATTGTTCGTCCGTCCCCAGCCTGTGCCTTCTCTGCATCCATCCGCCGCGGCCCGCCCGGCCTGTCTGTCCCTACTCATCTCGCCCCCCGCGCCTCCCCGCAGTCCTTTCACCTGGAGGCGTCGCTCATGGACGCCCTGCTGAATGACCGGCCCGAGTTCGTGCGCCTGCTCATCTCCCACGGCCTCAGCCTGGGCCACTTCCTCACGCCCGTGCGCCTGGCCCAGCTCTACGGCGCGGCGCCCGCGCACTCGCTCATCCGCGCGCTGCTGGACCAGGCGGCCCACGGGGCGGCCACCAAAGCCCCGGGGCACAAAGGGGGCGCTGAGGAGCCCCGGCCGCCTCAGGTGGGACAAGTACTGAGAACGCTGCTGGGGGAGACGTGCGCGCCGAAGTACCCCGCCGTGAACGCCCGGGACCCGCACACCGGCAAGGGCTGCAGAGAGAGCGTGAGCGCGCGGCGAGGCCCGGGGCGCTCCGGGGGCGGGGCCACGCGGGAAGGGGCGGGGCCATTCCCGAGAGGGCGGGGCCAAGGGACACCGGGCTGGAAGTGGCGGCCCTAGCCACGCCCCCCCGCCTGCAGGTGTGTCTACTCTCGGATTGGGCCGCCTCGGAACCAGCGCTGGAAGCCAGCTTTGGGCAGGCGCCCTGGAGCGATCTCTTCCTCTGGGCACTGCTGCTCAACAGAGCCCAGATGGCCATGTACTTCTGGGAGATGGTGAGTGCTGACTCCTGTCTCGGATCCTAGTCCTAAGGGTGCAGGGCACCTGCTGGGCAGGCGGAGCACCTCCCAGAGGGTCTGAGAAGCTGCAACAGGCGCAAAAACAATCACGGGATTCGAATAGGATCCAAAATGAAATTGCTTTTGTGCGATGGACTTATTCTGACAGGGCCCCTTTAACAACGGGGTTGTTCTTCCCAGCACTTGGTAGGCTGATGCAGGAGAATTGCTGTGAGTTTGAGGCTAGCCTGGGCTACATAGTGAGTTTAAGGTCAGCCTGAATTATAGAACAAAGCCCTATCTCAAACAAACAAACCTCCAAAACAAACAAAAAGCAATGGGATATTTCAACACATCGGGCCATGGGTTCAAATAGTTTTATCTGAGATTTTTAAACATCAAGATACGGGGCTGGAGATATAGCTCAGCTGCATAAGTGCCTGCCTGACAAGTGCAAGGTCCTGAGTTCAATTCCCGGTACCCAAAATAAATAAATAAGTAAATAAACATCAAGATAAAAATTTATATAAGATTCACCACTTACACTTTTTTTTTGAAATTGAGGATTGAACCCAGGGCCTCCAACAGAGCTACATCCCCAGCCTTTTTATATTTTGAGACAAGGTCTTGCTAGGTTGCCCAGGCTGGGCTCCAACTTGTGGTCCTGCCAGAGCCTCCTGAGTAGCGGGCATTACTGGCAAGCACCATCATGCCCGGCTTCACCACTCAACCCATTTTGAAGTACACAATTGAGAAGTAGTTCTTGCATTCACAGTGTTATGTCATGTCACACTACCTACTTCCACAACTTTAAACCACAGAAACCTTTTACTTCCTAAGCGGTCAGTCCACATTCCTATCTCCCCACCCTCTGTTGGCCGTTAATCCGCTTCCTGTCTGTATACATTTGCGTATTCTGGACATTTCATCTAAATGCAACCACACATGATGTGGCCTTTGGTAACTGCTTTCTTTCTTTGCCATAATGTTTGTGTGTGTGTGTGTGTGCGCGTGTGTGTCTTTTTGAGACAAGATCTCACTCTGCATTTCAGCCTAGCCATGAGCTCACTTTGTAGCCCAGACTGGTCTCAAACTCAATGATCCTCCGTGCCTAGCTTCCATTCTTTTTTATGGCTCAATAATATTCCATTGATGAATGGACCATATTTTATCTATCCATCCATCCATCACCCATCTATCCATCCATTCATTTGGGTTGTTCTGGTTATTGGCTATTATAAGGCTGCTATGAATATTCACATATGAGTTTTGTTCCAACACTCTGTTAGGAATTTATCTAGAAGTGGAATTGCTGGGTCATCCAGTAACCTTTGGTTGTGGCTTGTGTCTAGATGTCCTCTAAGGCCTCATGCAGTCATAGGTTGGGCTTCTTCAGAGGTGGTTGGATCTAGAGTGTGTGTGACTCGGTGTAATGCTAGGAATAACGGTACTAGGAGGAAGGGTGGGTGATTACCATATCAGTCCACTGATTGGTTTGCCACTGCCCTAATCCTGGTAGCCTGGATAGAATATAAAAAGGGCAGAGAAAAGCTGCTAAGGCCCCCTTACTTGCTTTGCTTTGCTGCCTTCTGCCCACCATAAACTGTTTCTCCTCTTCGATGCCCCTCAGCCAATTATGGACTGAAACCTCTACAAACTGTGAGCTAAATAAACCTTTCCTCCTTTAACTTGGGTTTCAGGTATTTTCTCTCAGCAATGAGAAAAGTAACTAAGACAACATGTGTTTAATTTTTTTAGGAACTGCCACACCATTCCACAGCGATTGCCGTGTTTTACATTCTCATCAGTAATATATAGCAATTTCAACTTCCCTATGTTCTTGTCAACAAAGTTTCTGTTTTAAAAAAATTATAAAATAAGCTGGGTGTGGTGGCACTCCCCCGTAATCCCAGCACTTGGGAGGCTGAGGCAGGAGGACTGCTGTGAGTTCAAGGCCAGCCTGGCTACATAGTGAGACCCTGTCTCAACAAAACAAAACAAAAATCATAAAATATACATAAAATTTACCATTTTAAGCCAGGTGTAGTGGTGTACACCTGTAATTCTAGCACTCAGAAGGCTGAGGAAAAAGGATCAAGAGTTCAAGTCCAGCCTGGGCTACAATGACAGCCTGTCTCAAAACAAAAAAAAGAAAATTACTATTTTAACAGGGTTTTGTTTTTTTTTTTTTTTTTTTTTCCTGAGACAGAGTCTCACTATGTAGTTCAGCTGGCCTTGAACTCACTTTGAGCCCAAGTTGGCCTCAAACAGCAATCCCCCTGCCTCAGCCTCCTGAGTGCTGGGATTATAGGCATGCGCCACCACACCCGGCTCCAGTTTTTAAGCATACATTTGTGCAGCATTCCCATTTTGTACAAACACTCCTGTTATATATTTCTAAAACTTTTTCCCAAACTGAACTCTACCCGTGAAAAAATAACTCCCTGTTTGCCTAAGCTCCTGGCAGTCACCATCCTACTCTGGCCAGTGTGACTGCTCCACAGACCTCACCCGAGTGCAAACGCGGAGTGTCTGTCTCAGTGAAGGGTCACTTAACCCTCGGCTCTCGTGATCCCAGTTAGTTTCTGGCCCCTCCTCTGCCCTGCCCCTCACTCCAAATTCTGACCCCACCCACTGTCTCCCTAGGGCTCCAACGCTGTGTCCTCTGCTCTCGGGGCCTGCCTACTGCTCCGAGTGATGGCCCGCCAGGAAACCGAGACTGAGGAGGCGGCCCGGCGGAAGGAGCTGGCGAGCAAGTTTGAGAGCATGGGTGTTGGTGCGTGGCGGGGCCCGGCTGGGAGCAGGGACTGGGGTGCCTGGGAGGGGGTGTGCTGTGTGTACCCCCGTGTCCCTCCCCACACCCTCTGCCCGCACCTCCCCTGCCCCTCACTGAGCCCCTGGTCCCCAGACCTCTTTGGGGAGTGCTACCGCAGCAGCGAGACAAGGGCATCCCGCCTGCTTCTCCGTCGCTGTCCCCTCTGGGGCGACGCCACCTGCCTCCAGCTTGCCATGCAGGCTGACGCTCGTGCCTTCCTTGCCCAGGATGGGGTCCAGGTGAGCATCTGACTCTGGGGACACCCCTTGGTCTTGAGCAGCCCCTCCTCCGAAGACACCTCTCCTAAGGGTTGCTCTTCCTTTAAGAAACCCCACCCCATGCCAGTCTGCCCCCAGCAAAGCCCACCACCCTACAGTTTTTCTAGGTAAAGGGATTCCTGGTCTTTCTAGTAGGAAGTCCCGCCTCTCAAACCGGAAGTCCTCCAGCCCATCAGGGACTCCCCAAGGAAGTCCCTTCTCATCTACAGTGCCAGCTTCCTAAGTTATAGGAGCTCCCATTCGTCTCACAGGAAACCCTGCGTCATCTACAGGAAGTCCTCTACACTTAGGAGGTCCCTAGTTCTGGTTCTCAACAGTTACAATGACTTCACTAGCCAGGCGTGGTGGCTCGTGCCTGTAATCCCAGCACTCAGAAGACTGAGGTATGAGGATTGCTGCCAGTTCAAGGCGAGCCTGTGCCACATAGTGAGTTCAAGGCCAGCCTCAACTGCATAGAGAGACCCTGTCTCAGAACCAAAAAACTTTACTAACAAATTACCTAGTATTCTGGACATAGACAAACTTGTTTAGGAAATCCCACCCTTCCTGTAGGAAATTCTTTTCCAAGGGCAGTACCACTAGCCCCAAATTCTCTTCCATCCTGACAATTGGACACTTTGTAAACTTTCTCAGTATCCCTCACTTATTTTTTGAGATGGATCTCTCTGTAGTTCAGGATAGCCTTGAAATCTCTAGCTCAGGCTAGCCTTAAACTCATGGTGATTCTCCTGTCTCAGCCTCCCAAGTGCTGAGATTACAAGCTTGTGCTATGGCATCCGGCCTTCAGTGGCCCTCCTTTAAATCTGACTGGAGCACAGATAGTTCTGTGCACCCAAAAGGAAGTCTTGTTTATGCAAACGGGAAGTCCTATCCTCAACTACCAAGACGATTAGGCTGGCGTTTCAGTAATTACCCAGAATCCCTTGCTTTGAATAGTGCAGAAACCCATGGGTTCCAGCTCTACCATTTGCTGGTTATGTTCCCTGGGTCACTTCCTAACATCTCTGTGGCGGATGCGAAAAGGTGACAGTACTAGTGCTGCCCTCTCGAGGGTGTGGCTGGGATGGAGTGAGCTAATCTGTGGACAGCGTTCAGCCCAGTATCTGGCTCGTGGTATCCATAAACATTGGCTGCCAAGCCCTGGGCAAGTTGTCTGCCTTTGACCTCCGCCCCTCAACCCTCGCCGCCGTGGCCCCCACACAGGCACGTGCCCTGTGCCCCGCCGGGGGTCTAGTGAGGGTTCAGGTTCCTGATCCTCCCCATCCCCCACAGTCTGTGCTGACGCAGAAGTGGTGGGGGGAGATGGACAGCACCACCCCCACCTGGGCCCTGGTTCTCACCTTCTTCTGCCCCCCACTGATCTACACCAACCTCATCGCCTTCAGGTCAGTCCCCTGGGGTGAGATTAGCAGGAAGGGTGCCCAGCCGCTCCTCCTTCTCGCTTCTGCCTGCCTTGCCTTTCTTGCTTGGCCTGCCTGGCGTGTTGCCCCACAAACAGAAGGTTCTGGAAGGTGACCTTTTGCGGTGCTCTCTGCAGTGTCTCTAGGGTGGCAGCTCTTTTGCTTCTCTGGTCCTGGTCCTAGGAGAAGGTCTCTTTAGCGGGCCACCTCCATCTCTGCAGTGTCTCTGGGTGAGGAACTTTGAGTTGGTCTGGAGAGCCCTGTCCACTTCTTATTCTGTGCTTCCCTCCATACCAGGAAACTGGAAGAGGAGGCAACACAGAGGAGCCCTGGCGTTGACATGGACGGGGGCATTAATGGAGAGGGTCCCATTGGGTGAGTGGCACCCCAGCACTGTGTGTGTGTGGTGGGGTGGGGGGTGCTCTGGGCAGTTTCAGGACACTCGGCCTCCACATCCCAGGAGGGCAGGAGAGAACTGGGCTTAAGGAAGTTTCTAAAATGCGAAGCTTTGTGCTCACTTCAGCAGCACATATACTAAAATGCCAAGCTCAAGGTCTGGCTCGAGAGTTGCCTCTGCCACCGGGGAGGTCACTAGAAACCTGTGTGCCTCAGCCTACACGTGCTTTTGGTCCTTTGTAGCAAGTGGAGTCGGGGGTGATGTTCACTGAGGGCTTTTTCTTGACCCCTGAGCTCCTGCCCTTACAGTATGCTGTCGTAGTCATGAAAGTCTTTTGAGAACCAACCTTTTAAACTCAGTGTCATGGTGCACACCTGTAATCCCGGCACTCAGGAGGCAGAGGCAGGAGGGTCACTGTGAGTTCAGGGCCAGCCTGAACTACATAGCGAGATCCTGTCTCAGTCTCCCCCCACACACAAAAAATCAGGCTTATGAGGTGAGTTGCAGCTCAGCTCTGGCACTCCTGAGGCCCTGGGTTCCGTTCTCAGCACAACCAAAAAAAAGCGCCACCTCAGTTTGTGCGAGTGTACTCTGTAGCTCTTATACACTGATGAAACCGCCTAATGATGCATTTCTCAGACTGTGTCCCTTAAGTGACACGGGGCTGTGTGAGCATATATAGTTTTTAAAAAGATTAATTAATTGATATATAATGTTTTCTGAGACAGTGTACTTACAAATACCAAACTTTCAAGATAAAAGAAAACCTGAGAGAAATAGTTGGGCCACAGAGCAAGTCTTGATAGAAGCCATACTGCCAGAGGTCAAGGACAGCCTTGTGGTTTCCCGTGTTCTATACCGTATGATGAGGATGATATAGAAGATTCATAACGGGTCGCCATTGTGCTAATTTATTTTGGAAATCAGGTCATTTGATATTCCCATACAATGATGTCTGTTACTTTGTTTTTGACAGTATCTCCCTGTGTAGTCTCGAACTCACTATGTAGCCCAGGTTGGCCTCACACTTGCAGAAATCCCCCTGCCTCAGCCTTCTGAGTGCTAGGATTACAGGCATGCCCCACCATGCCCAGCTTTCCTGTTAGTTTTGACTTGATTATTAGTACTTCCCATTCATTTGAGTGTTTCAGATTTGAGGTCAGAGGTAACGAGAAGAAATCCAGACAGAGGATCAGCACTAAGGCAAGAAGGGTCAAAGATTTGAGCAGATTCTCCAGGGCAGAATTCAGAAGGCAAATTTGGGTGTGTGGTCATCAGTCAGATACGGGGAGAGTTATGTGAGCAGCCCGGGCTGGGTGATCTCTGGTTGGAATCTGCAGGTCCCAGTCATGAAAGGGAGGAGGTCGAAGGTCATTTTGGGGGTCTGAGTCAGCAGGTGGCTTAAATCAGAGGTTGTAAAGGGAAAGAGGGAGGCTTTGGAGTCAAAAGCCAGGCAGGAAGGAGTCAGAAGTCAGAGTTCAAAAGGTTGGGGGAAGCTAGAATCGGAAAACCAGCAATTTGATACGAGATTTCAGAGGTCAGAGGTCAAGATGCCAGGCAGCCAGGGGTGGTGATGCATGCATCTTTGGAGGTTGAGGCAGGAGGACTGCAAGGTCGAGGCCAGCCTGGGTAACTTATGGAGACCCTGTCTCAAAATGAAAGAGGACTGGATGTAGCTCAGTGAGAAGGAAGGCCCTGGTTCAGTCCCCATGGGGAGGAGGGGTAGAAAAGAAAAGAAAAACAAGAAAAGAAAAGTTTTAGAAGAAAAAGAAAAGAAAAAAACGGGTCTGTGTGTGATTGATCCTCCTGCCTCAGCCTCCTGAGTGCTGGGATCACAGGCCTGCGCCACCAAGCCGGGCTGAGGGGAGAGTCGCTCCTGGTGCAGGTCAGGGCTCAGGGCTGGAACCTCCTCCTCTGCCCTTCTCCCCACAGACCCAAGGACCCTCTGGAGAAGGTGCAGCCGCCGGGCCGCGGGGGGCGCTGCTCGGGGCGCCGCTGCCTGCGCCGCTGGTCGCGCTTCTGGGGGTCGCCGGTGACCGCCTTCCTGGGCAACGTGGTCAGCTACCTGCTCTTCCTGCTGCTCTTCGCGCGCGTGCTGCTGATCGACTTCCAGCCTGGGCCGCCGTGCGCCTGGGAGCTGCTGCTGTACTTCTGGGCCTTCACGCTGCTCTGCGAGGAGCTGCGCCAGGGCCTGGGCGGCGGCTGGGGCAGCCTGGCCAGCGGGGGCCCCCGGCCCGGGCACATCCCGCTGCGCCGCCGCCTGCAGCTCTATCTGGCCGACGCCTGGAACCAGTGCGACCTGCTGGCCCTCACCTGCTTCCTGCTGGGCGTGGGCTGCCGGTGAGTGGGCCGAGCGCATGGGCCCGGGGTTGGGGTCAGGGCGGGATCCCCAGTTTTTACTTTTCCGGTACTGAGCCTCTGCACGGCACTACATCCCCAGCCCTATGTATTTTTTGTTTTGCTTCAGGGTCTCTGTAAATTGCCCTGGCGGGGCTCAAATTTTTTACTTACCTGTCTCAGCCTCTGGAGTGCTGAGATTGTAGGCGTGTACCACCACGCTCAGCTTCTTTTTATTTTTTATAAAATACGAATTGTAAGGAATTCCTCTCAGATATTTTCTGTTGCAAAGGCTGGGCTGTATGATGCTTCCAGATCTTACCGTATAGTCCCCTGGGGGAGGGCAAAGGATAGGGCAAAATGTTATCAGGCACAAACGATTATTTCTTTGGGTCTTGGTACCTGCTCCCCACCACTCCTATTGGGGATTGAACCCAAGGAGAACAGGGCTACACTTCAGAAATTTTCTTTTCTTTTTTCTTTTTTTTTGAGCCAAGATTATGCTTATTTGCCCAGGCTGGTCTCAAATTTGCGATCCTCCTGCCTCAGCCTCTTGAAGCAGCTAGGATTACAAGTGTGTATCATTGCTGCCCAGCAATGGCCAGGCCAACCCCTATGCTTCCTTTAGACTTCAGCTTACTGTCCCCACCTTTGCTGTTGTTTTGTTGTTGTTGTTGTTGTTGTTGTTTTTCCCGTACCGGGAATCGAACTCAGGACTTTGCACTTGCCAGGCAGGCACTGTGCCGCTGAGCTAAATCCCCAGCCCTGTCCCCACCTTTGAAAGGCTTCTTTCGTCCCAGACTCTGGGTCCTTGTTTGTGTCTCCCTGAGACGCCCTCCAATGGTGTGCTGCCCGTAGTTAGTGCATCAGATTTATGAATTTATTTTAGGGGTTTTTAAAAAAAATTTTTGAGACAAGGTCTCACTATGTAGTTCAGGCTGGCCTTAAACTTGGGGTGATCCTCCTGCCCCAGCCTCCTAAGTGCTGGGATTGCAGGTGTGTGCCACCATGTCCAGCCCTTAGACCATCTTTTAAGTACAGTCTCTTGGAGCCAGGGATACAGCTCAGCCACATAGCACCTGCCTGGCAAGTACAAGGTCTTGAGTTCTGTTCCCGGTACCTCCCAAAAAAAGTCTCTTTAAAAAAAAAAAAAAGAAGAAGAAATGTATCCCCACTGAACAAGATTTTAAAAAATAAAGGACAGTTCAGAAACGGATTTTTGTCATGGATCAGAAGCATCCGGCCTTTCTCACAGGTTCCTGCACCAAGGTTCACGAATGCCTTGTCTGCGCTTTCTGTTCATTTCGGTGCACGCTGTTTGCACACAAATAATGTGACAGGTGTACTCCTGGCAATATTTTCTTTTTTCTTGACAATGTATCCCGAAGTTCCTTGTCTGTCAGTATTTGCGAATGTATCTTTTTTTTTTTTTTTTTTTGGTTTTTGGTTTTTCTCTGCTACCAGGAACCGAACTCACGACCTTGTGCTTGCCAGGCAGGCGCTTTGCCGCTGAGCTAAATCCCCAGCCCCCTTTGCGAATGTATCTTAATCTCTGAAAATGTCACACAGATTGCAGAGGACAGGATTAGAATCATCATGGGCTAAAGATCAGACACCACAAATTGCTTCTTGCCAGAATTTAAATGAATTAGTTCTTTTTTTTTTTTTTTTTTTTTTTTTTTTGAGACAGGGTCTTGCTGTGCAGTTCAGGCTGGCCTTGAGCTCACTTTGTAGCCCAGGCTGGCCTCAAACTCGCAATGATCCTCCTGCCTGAGCCTCCTGAGTGCTGGGATTACTGGCATGCGCCACCACGCCCGGCTGAATTAGTTCTTTTTATAATGCAGTGAGACAAAGTTCTGAAGTTTATGAGAGAAAAATCATCCTAAATTTCTTTTTTTGTTGTTTTTTTGGGTTTTTTTGGTACCAGGAATCCAACTCAGGGTCTCCTCACACTTACCAAGCAGGCACTGTGCTGCTGAGCTACATCCCTGCCCTATCCTAAGTTTCTTCCACAAGATCTTTCATTTTCTACTCCAGATAGTATGAAGTTACAGTCACATGATAACTGCTTTGGTTCTTCTTCCAATAAGTCTCTTTCTCCCCCCCCTCCCCCCCCCCGTGCCAGGTGCAGTGGTGCACACCTGTAATCCTTGTTACTTAGGAGGCTGAGACAGGAGGATCTTAAATTGGAGGTCAGCCTGGACAACTTAATGAGACCTTGTTTCTTTCTTTTCGTTTCTTTTCTTTTCTTTTCTTTTCTTTTTTTTGAGACTTTGTTTCTAAATAAAAATAAAAAGGGTTGGAGATGCACCTCAGTGGTAGAGCGCTTGCCTAGTATGCATGAGGCTCTGGGTTCCATCTTCAGCACTACAAAGGAGGAAAAAAAAAAAAAAAGGCAAAAACTTGGGTGACAGCCATGACCCAGCACAAGCTCTGTCAGCTGGAGCAGGAGGCAGCTTCCTCCACGCAGGGTTACATGATACGAAGTCACTTGACGCGGAGTGTTTATCCAGACAGAGCAAGGTAAGGGATCTTGCAGCACACTACCGCTTCTGTTCGTCCCATGTTTATTTTGGATAAAGTGTCTTTTGAGAGGAAAGGACAGGGGCTCTTTCTGTCATGCTGTAGTTATGCCAGGCCTGCTTTGGACATTTTATCAAATGCTCCAGGTGGCAGAAAATCTCTCTGTGGGAAAATGAGAAGTTCTCAGCCTTAGGGAGAAGTGTCTACTTACTTTCCAATTGAATAAATAAATCACTTAATTAATGAATTAATTAATTTTGAGACAATGTTTTGCTATGTAGCCAAGCCTGGCCTTGAACTCACTGTAGAGCTCAAGTGGGTCTTAAACTTGCAGCAGTCCTCCTGCCTCAGTCTCCCTACTGCTAGGATCGTAGGTGTGTGCCACCATGCCCAGTGGATCACTTTATTTTGCCAGTCCTCTCTAGATGGATATTTAGATTATTTCTGTGTGTGTGTGTTTGTGTGTGTGTGTTTGATGCAGGGTCTTGTGACATAGTTCTAGCTGGCCTTAAACTCACGGTAAGCAAGGCTGGCTTGAACTCAAAGCAATCCTTCTGCCTCAGCCTCCTGAGTGCTGAGATTCCAGGCATGCAGCACCACACTTGGCTATTTATATTCTTAAAGTTACAAAACAATGAAAATTTACATCCCAGATGGAATGTGGGTGGATCAAATAGCACATACATTACTGACCCAGATTTCCTGTTATGTAGCTTTGCCCATGGACACGGCCACCATCCGGGCACAACAGTGCCCCCTTGAGGAAGCTCTTGGTAATCCCTGATACTGTCCATCTTTAACATTTTCTAGCTCTCAATTTGACTTTCACTTTTTTGTGCATCTGTCGGGTGAAGATCACCTCCTTTTGTTTTAGTTTATGTGACTCCACTACGTAGGTTGGGGATCTTTTTTGTAAGCTTTCTGGCCACATGGGGCACTGATCTTCATACTTTGTCAATGATCTCCATATTTTGTCCACCCCTCCCAATTTTGTACTGGAGTTCATGGATCACCTGCCCTCCTTCCTTCTCTCTCTTTTATTCGGGATTCTAATCTTCTTTTAGCTATCTTCTTGCAACTTGTAACTTGCCTTTTTTTTTTTTTTTTTTTTTTTTTTTTTTTTGAGACAGGGTCTGGCTATGTGTTCCAGGCTTTGAACTCACTATGAAGCCAAGGCTGGACTCGAACTCATAGAGATCCTCCTGGCTCAGCCTCCTGAGAGCTGGGATCATAGGTGTGTACCAGCACACCTGGTCACTGGTCCTTTCATTTTCATATGTTGTCATAAACATTCTTCTATTCTTTAATTTTTCATTTTGAAAAAAATCTGAGACTAAAAACACATGGCAGAAGCAGCCCAAGGAGTTCTCCTTACTTATTTTTTTATTTTTATTTTTTGTCTTTCTGAGACAGGGTCTCCTTGTGCAGTTCAGGCTGGCCTTGAGCTCACTTTGTAGCCCAGACTGGTCTCGAACTTGCAACGATCTTCCTGCCTCAGCCTCCTGAGTGCTGGGATTCCTGGCATGCACAACCACACCTGGCTCCAGCTTGATTTTATAGGGACCTCCTAGCCTTTTCTAACCCTAGCCCTTCACTTAGCCATTTATTTATGGGTGCAATGCCCCATACCCCAGTGTGCACTGGAAACTAAATAAACCCCCTGCGAATCAGGGATCTGTGGAGGCCTCAGCACCTCTGTGGGCCTCGGGTGACCCTACTTCGTGTCTGCTGATCCCAGGCTGACCGTGGGTCTGTATCACCTGGGCCGCACGGTGCTGTGTCTCGACTTCATGATCTTCACGCTGCGGCTGCTACACATCTTCACTGTGAACAAGCAGCTGGGACCCAAGATTGTCATCGTGAGCAAGATGGTGAGGGCCTTGGGGGTGAGCGGTGGGTGGAGGGGAGGAACCAATGGGAGGTGTGGTTTTGG